CCAGTCTGGGCAAAAGAGTGAGACACCAACTCAAAAAAAAAAAAAACAAAGTTAAGTGCATTCAGCATTTTGTTAGGCTGAGGCAAGAGGATCACTTGAGGCCAGGAGTTGGAGACCAGCCTGGGCAACATAGCAAGATCCTGTCTCTACAAAAACATTTTAAAAATTAGCCGGGTATGGTGACATGTGCCTATAGTCCAGTTACCAGGGAGGCTGAAGTGGAAGGATTGCTTGAGCCCAGGAGCTTTGTTTGCTTTTTGTTTTGTTTTGTTTTGAGTAGGAGTCTCATTCTGTCACCCAGGCTAGAGGGTAGGGGCAAGCTCACGGCCACACCAGCCTTGACCTGCTGGGCTCAGACAAGCCTTCCACTTCAGCCTTCCAAGTAGCTGGAACTACAGGCATGCGCCACCACGCCTGGCTAATTTTTTGATGTATTGTAGAGAAGAGATCTCACCATGTTGCCCAGGCTGGTCTCGAACCCATGGGCTCAGGCAATCCTTTCACCTCTGCCTGCCAAGGTGTTGGGATTCTAGGCATGAGACACGGTGCCTGGCCTGGGCCCAAAAGTTTTGAGGCTGCAGAGAGCTATGACTGCCCCACTGCACTCCAGCTTGGGTGAGAGAGTGAGACTCTGTCTCTAAAAAGAAAGAAAAGTTAGCCAGGCTTGGTGGCTCAGCCTGTAATCCCACGCCTTTGGGAGGCTGAGGTGACAGTGGATTGCCTGAGCCTGCGGGTTCGAGACTCGCCTGGGCAGGCGAGACCTCATCTCTACAATAAATCAAAAAATTAGCTGGGCAAGGTAGCACGCGCCTGTAGTTCCAGCTACTTGGAAGGCTGGGCGGAAGGATCGCCGGAGCCCAGCAGGTTGAGGCTGAGGTGGCCGGGAGCAGCCACTGCACTTCAATCTGGGTGACAGAGTGGGACTCCAGCTCAAAAAAAAAAAAAAAAAAAAGAAAGAAAAGTTAAGTGCAGAAAAATAGATTCAATATTTGAGAGTTCTGCTCACTTGAATCTCAGATAAACAGAGACCTAAATCTTCACGCTAGTGGTACAAAGCAACAGGTGTCCAGTGTTTAGGCATAAAACATTTCCCTAAAAGCAATGCCACCAACACATCTTTGTCTAGAAATGTCTGTGTATAGAATTGTAGATATAGACACTCTTTGGTTAGGCACAGAAAATATTTCAATCTCCGGCTGGTTTCCCTGTTCCAGGCTTCTAACCCTTGAAGTGTGTTCTGGGAATAACTCCTCTTGTTTATCCTTCACTTCTCATTACATTGCTAATTATAGCATTTCCATCAGACACTGATGAGGAAAGGGAGGAAAAACACATCCAAGCCAGTTAATTCTTCTACTTTTCATTAGTTTCAGCCAGAAGTTTTGAAGGAAAAGAAGATAAAACTATTGGCTTAAAAGATATTGGGGGATAAACTGTAATCTCATTTATTTAGGTTACTCTTCTAATACTCAGACTCACATCATGGCTATCTTTTTTATGGTTTCTTCCCCTATAACATAGAAGTAAGATCTATTGAACACAGCCAGATGCAGAAAATGCTGTGTCTCAGGTTGATAAATACATGCCCAACCTGAAGAGGGTTAGCTTTACCTTTTGACAGTGTTGTGCATGTGTTTCGTGTTAGCCAAAATTGTTGTATACTTGATCTGACTGTTGACTCTCAAGTAGGCTTTTATGATTGCTTCTGACATCATTAAACTAATCTACCTTTTACACAGGCATAGTACACGTCCATGCACATGCACCCATCTGGATAAATGTTCATGCACATCCAATCCCAAAAACAGGAGCAGAGAGTTGCCTGCAGTCTCACTATGCCACACGGGCTCACGTGAACTATTCTGTTTCATCCAAGAATCATCAGAAGAGGTTAAGACAGCCAGCACAGTAACCCCTCAGGGACTGTACTATTTTTATTTATTTATTTTTTTCACTGAGTCAAGGTCTCACTCTTTTGCCCAGGCTGGAGTGCAGTGGCATGATCATGGCTCAACACAGCCTTCACCTCCTGGGTTCAAGCAATCCTTCTGCCTCAGCCTCCCAAGTAACTGGGACTACAGGCGCATGCTCCCACATCTAGCTAATTTTTTTTATTTTTTCTGTAGAGGCAAGGAATCACTATGTTGCCCAGGCTGGTTGTAAACTCCTGGGCTCAAGTGATCCTCTCACCTCCATCTCCCAAAGTGCTGGAATTACAGGTGTGAGCCACCGTACCTGGCCTATGCTTTCTTTTTAGAAATAAACGGGCCAGGAGCAGTCTCTCATGCCTGTAATCCCAGCATTTAGGGAGGTGGAGGTGAGAGAATTGCCTAAGCTCAGAGGTAGAGACCAGCCTGAGTAACTTGGCGAGATTGCATCTCTATAACAAATCAAAAAATTAGCTGGGCGTGGTGGTGTGTGCCTGTAGTTCCAGCTACTTGGAAGGCTGAGGCAGAAGGA